GGCGGAGCGAGACATGCATCTGGCTGTTGTCAGGTTACGTTAGATATGCATTCTCCATCTTATTTTCCTCCGAAGGCCAGATTCGTAGGCCAATTACATCAAAGCGCGTCACCGAGGTCTGGCTGGATTCCAAAACTCCTCGCCATGCAGCCTACAAATGCGTCCTTCTTTCTGCCTGATTTGAAGGACGGTTCTGGTGTATCCTATGTAGCTTTAGATATCCCAGGATTCATTGCGAGTCCAAGCAAACCGACTGCTCTTTGATCAGAGGAAAATGGGTACTTTGTGCCGAACAGTGGTGAATATTGGAAATTCTGTTTAATATAATACAAGTATGTGAATATTTCCGTCTGAAATGAATGAAAATAGTTATTTTAATGGTGATTGAGTCAGATATGTGGCAGTAATGTTTGATTTATCTAAAGGTTTATATCTGTTACTGTGTAAATGAATTTGGCTGATTTTCTAATTGCTATTTTCCACAATTTACTTAATTAAGTATTTTTTGTTGTTGAATATATTGCAGATATTTTTTTATGCATACATTTACTCATACCTTTCAAAGATATATCATTATCTTTGCTTTTATTTGTTCATGCTCCTGGTGGTTGGCACCTTTATTCCTCTCTGTATTCTCATGACTATAGTCAAGGCTGAAGGCTGGACCTGTTTAAATTTTCTTTTCTTATTTATTTAATCAGGACAGAGCACGTTAATGAACAATCTTATACTTCTGTACAGATTGTAAATGAGCCAGATTATAGCATAGTTGCTAATTTACATCTGTCGTCCTGAGGTAGGAAGACAAAACAACACAAGATCACGTAATACAGTATCAGTCAAAACAAATAGACACACGTTCAGACAATGACATTACAACAATAAAATTAGTAAGCGGATGACTGGGAACTTTTTAATTCACATCCAAAACTCTTCTGGTCTCCTTATTTTCACGGACCTCGAAGGATCTGGTCCAGATAGACCGAGTCCTTGGAAGATGCAGCCTGTGAAATCAAACACACCCTGTTTTTCTGTTGGGCTTTAGTTGTTTGACCTTTGTTTTCTTAATACTGCCTCCTGCTTGACTCGAAGTGTAGTGCGGTTTGTATTCACAGCTTTTCCATACTGTACTTTAATCCTCCCATCTTTTCAGTGGTTGTAGTGAACCTGCTTGTTGCTGCAGATCTTCTCAAATCTGGGTTGCAGTGTCACAACTGCCCATTATGCTCAGTCAAGCAAGCACTGTTTTTTTTTTTTCTTAATTCATCCATACCGCTTCCTGCGCCCCCCTTGCGATGGCACTGTATAATTTAATTTCTACCTACATATTTATTCATTGTATTTTGGGGGGTAATTAATTGAATGTTTATTTATTTATTGAGCCTGTATTTATTTATGTATTTATTTTTATACATGGGAGAGCTGTTCCTCCATATCTAAAAAATCTTATCTGTGCAAATAAGCCTTAAAACATTTGAACACGTACTTTTTATCAGAGGATTCAACAAGTTTCAAAATCTCTGAAGATAAGGCGCTCTGCTCCTGTCTCCTCCTCCATCCTGTGTGTGTGGCTGTGTGTCTGTGGGTGTCATTCTTTGAGTTCCACTGCAGTACGCATGTGCATGTTTTGTAGACACAGACAGGAGAGGCAGAATAGAGGCTCATGCATGAATGTCCAGCAAATAACTCCAAATGTTGTTTCAAAAATAGAAAACCTGGTTTCATTACTTAGTTTTGCCCTGGATTTTGTAGCGTTTGTGGACGCCAAGTCGCTACTTGATAAAAACAATAACGTCACTACTGTAAAGTTACTTGATAAATAAAGCGGCGACGCTACGGTCAAGCTACTGGTAAATGCAGTTAAACTAACAGCTTCGCTACATGTAGCGGCGCTACTGCCCATCACTGACTGTAACATTCAGTAACCGCACGTGCTTTACATATAACGCTACAGCGATACATTGCTGACAAGCATATGAAAGCCAGACATCTTTTGCTTCGTGGTAAAAGTAAGAAATTAACTTACCATTGTTGCGGAGTCTCGCGTGTTCAACAACCTTCTTCTTCGTCTAACAGGTTGTCATGATGGGTTTCAGGTGGGCGTGGCTAAATTTGTTTATTTCCGGCCCTACGGTGGAGGTGGCCTGTGACAGGCGCCTGCAGCGGAACTGGTCTGACAGCTGAGGTGCTGCAGCCAGACCGTCTTGATAAATAGTGGTGTTTCAATGCTGTTGTCAGAGATGGCTTTGATCAACGCACAAATCAGTGAGCTGATTGGATACCGAGATACCGGTGATGGAATGACGTTGCATGAACCCCCCTCCCTCCCGAATGGACGGATGATCCACGGACCTTTATTGATTCAGTTATTTGTTTTGCCAAAAAGATTTATTATAATCATTTTTCATCAAATAATAGAGATGCAGATAAATATAAATAAACAGTTCTCAGATAAGATCGCAGGGTGTATCTATAACTGTGCCCATACAGAATGCAACACTTTTCATGAAATAAGATAATGCAGTCACTATGTTAAATTAATTCATTAACTTTATTTTAATCAAAAACATCATAAAATAGCACAATATCACACCAAGATCCCCAATAAACCTGCTTTAAAGACAGCATCTAAATAACAGCCTGGATTAAGGAGAAAAAAAAAAGTTCCCAAGTGCCACCTGGTGGTTGTCCGGGTACATTGCAGTTCTTTTTGAAATAAAAAAACTGGCCTCAGGAAATACATCGTGATTCACGCAGGAATCACGCAGGAAACCGTCCATTTCCAACTAGTACCCACTGTACATCATTAGTCTCATTCTAAGGTATATGTCACCACAGTGTAAATGGAATGCAAACATTTTACCCAGAATTCCTTTTACCAAGGTAAATAACTTCTAGGTAATAATTTGGGTCTTTCATTGGAAAAGAGACTTAGATCTATTTCGGTTTTTCTTAGAGCCCTGACAAATTAACTCTTAATAAAAATCAAGAAGCCAATCTTCAAATATATAAAACCATAGTGATATAAAAACAAACCTAAAAGCCTTTATAAATAAGTAATTCCTTGATTCTCAAGCATTTTAAAAATAAAGTAAAAATTAGACTAGAAGAATAATATTCAAGAGACTAGAAATATGTCCATGTTTTATGTGGCATTTGCTTTTGTTTTTGTGCATTATTTTCAGAACAGTTGCTGGTTCAGATTTCAGCTGGGTTGAAGTTTTTTTTTTTTTTTTCTCTCCAGAGTGGAGTTTCTTTTTTAGGAACTTCTGCTCCTCTTCCAAAATCCTTGATTCACAATCTGGAATTTCTCATAGATGGTTGCAAATGCAGTGAACATACTCCTACTCTTGTCCGGACAATTTTTGCCCTGAGATAACCGTCTAATCCACCACTGATTAGTAAATAAAACATTTCTGCAGGTATCAAAATGTGTCAGTTATTACTGAGGTATGTTTGTAAAGTCATAAACCTTTTTATACTATGACTGATAAAGCTAAATGTCCTCTTCCTAGCTGGTGGCATCATGTTTTGAACAGTCCCGTAAATGAGCTTCTGACCGTTTCTCTCTGACTTTCACAGATTTTGGCTGCATTGAGCCTTTGGGCATGGAGTCTGGAGGCATTACCCCCGACCAGATCAAGGCTTCCTCCCAGTATAACTCCAACTGGTCACCAGAACGATCCCGACTCAACTACTTGGAGAACGGCTGGACACCCTCAGAAGACAACAACAGGGAATGGATACAGGTTGGTCAACTTTTTAAAGGTTTATTTGCTGACTAAGAAAGGATTTAAGAAAAAAAAAAAGAAATGCTCATGAAAGGAATAAGCATTTTATGCATTGAACACACTGTGTCCTCCTTTTCCAAATAAGGCAGTTTGAAGTATTGCCGCTTTAATCCCCACATTTAGAGTCTGATCTCAAAAATAAAAGCCTCTGATTCCCCTGTAGAAAAACAGCTCCTCTGTTTTCCTTTCACTGCACCACGAAGAGCTCGCTCACAGCTGCTCTGAATATTGCTCACTGATTTGTACCACTCTTCTACACGTTCCAGGGACAGTAGATGGGGGTAAAAAAAGCCAACATGCATCAATTATTTACATCTGCTTCTACAGTTTGCTATCATCATTCTGAAATCTGACATAGCTGCCTGCAGTTACTAAATGTAGACATAAAAGATTCATAAAATATTCTTGTATAGCTTAAAGTGATGGTGTTTACTCATCTGAACACTGATAAAGGTTAAAACAAGTGAAACATTTTGCTTCATGATTTGACATCTTAAAGATTGTATTTTAGGAAGTATGATACTTTTAGTTTGTTACATTACAGTTGCAAGGCAGTATATCTGATGGTGCATCCACACCTTATGGACAAAGAACATTCTTTTGAGGACCAGAATGTTCACATTTTGGACAAAGAAGAAAGGTGGATTGAGAGGGGGGTGCAGGAAGCCCTCTATGTTAAGCAGGGCTTACACTGTACGATTTTTGGCCCTTTATGGGTGCAACTTTCCAGTCATGCGAGAATTTTTCGATCCGGCCGACTTTCAGCTTGCTCATGTATCGTGTAGCGCATAGGGGGTAACGAGGGGCGATAAACCTCTCAAGACCACCTCCCAGTCAGGATTCGCAAGGTCGGAAGAAAATCAAACATGTTTGAAATTCAGTCGGCCTTCGTAAGGTGGTCGTGGGAAAAATCGCTCAGTGGGCAAACAAGGATTCTTCTTTTTCTTCCTCTCAGGAAAAATAACACTCAAGCATGGCAGGGGTGCGAGTGAAATGGAGTTCTTTCTGTTAAACTGACGGACCATATATAGTAGCCACGTTTGCTCAGCCATGTCTTCGTCCAAATACGTCATCTCCTTTTCTTTTTACGGCTTTCAACACAAAATTGCCAAGGCAGCGCGTTTCTCTCTAGTGAGCTTCATATTCCTCTTCTACTCGTTTGGCTTCCGGATAGACGAGTCCCAGTAGCGCCATCTCTCTGCGGAGCTCAGTCCAACGTGGTTTTAAGACGTATAGTGTGAGCAGGTAGATCGTATCAGAGCGTTGGGCCGCACATGCATCGTGAGCTGTAGCTGCGTGCAACGATTGAAAAAAACAGAGGGGGTAGACTCAGATTTCTGCTTTCAAAAACCTACAATGCAGCAATTGAGTTGATCCCTTCCCACTATCATCGCAACCCCCACCCCATTACAGAGGAACAGTGCACCTCGCCTCTACATCCAGGCCAACAATTCCCTCTAACGACCCCCTTTCAGAGACATAGACAGGTATCGGATATTACAGGCTAACGAAAAAACCAAAAGACCCCAATTCCAAAGAGCCGTCATGTACAATTTGCATGTTTTCTAACCCAAAACCAATCTTTTTTTTGGTCCACCGTATAAAGCCTTGAACTCAACGCCATTTCTGCCATTTTGAATTGAGAAAGCTTCCTGGATGGGAAACGAAACGTCTTCAAACTTGGAAACCAAGTCTAGTGGATTTTTTTTTTTAACTTTTTTTAGAATACAGTAGCAAGCAAAGGTTTGACGTTAGCCTTGAAGAGAGTCTTTAGTTGTTTTTGTCTGAATCCAGGAAGAATGATTTAAGTATACACAATATCTACAGTTAAAATTGTTTTTGTGTTGTTTTTTTCGGAATAATTTTAAAAAATATATGATAAAGCCAGGGTTTTACAGATGTTATATTTAAAAGTATTAGATGTACTATTTTGAGCTAGATTTGTTATTAGTATGGCTTCATTCCCTTATATCTATGTATGTATCCGCACATTAACCATTTAACTTTGCAGGTTTGCAGACCAGTTGCTCGTCAAAATATAATTTCTGTACTTTATTTCTTGTGTTGATACACTTTATTCTAGTATTATCATCCGAGAAAGTTGGTCAGAGTTTAGACTGCGGGATGAGTATTTCATTTTCAAGCCAGCACAGTATGCTTTTGATTGGCAGAG